CCTAAACCCTAAAACTAACCTAACCAAACCCTAAAACCCTAAAACCCTCAAACCCTAAAACCCTAAAAAGGTATTGCGTACGCTGGCGTCAATACCCTACACTAGAACTGTATGTGGGTCTCACCGTCGATGGCGGCTTGAGAATCCCATCGAGCGGTTTACCGACAACATTCATAATGTCCCAGTGGAATCTTGGACCGGTCGGGTTATTACCGGTATGGCAAAAGGAGTGCCAGTCGGCACGGCACTTTGTAAATCGAGATCTACCGGGCCAAGGTACCGTGATCCGGATTCACCGTATCAATACGGTAGAATTTCGAATCAGAGTACCGGTAGGTAATCCCTAGTGCCGTGTGGTCCTACGGTACATTCGATCAGCACGTCACGGACTCGCGCTGGTCTCGAGGGTGCGTATCCTACCGGGCCGAGTTATCTGCCCCGGGCCTTCAAGTTTGAGAGGTTGGATTCTGCCGCAGATCAGATTGAAGATTCTGTTGATTCGACAGACGAAATACCTGTTACAAAGTCCTGGACAGCTGCCTTGCCTGAGATGAGACTGAAGAAGACCACAGTACCGCAGTATTTTCGCCCGGTTGAACCAAGGTCCGCTAGTCACTTGCGATCTTTCGTCGATTTCCGGTTGCTGCCTGGTGGCGGCCAGGACTTGCTCACAGAAGCGACACGTCGCTTGTCAAAAGGCCGTGTGTGGCCCCCCTTATGACGTCAGCGCCAGACTTGTAGAGAGGACGTGTGTGGTTGAAGGAAGCTGCCTCACCGGCAACGCAAGGTGCAGACAGACCGTGCTCTCTTCTCGACTGTTCTCCCTGTTCTCCCCGCGTGCGTCTCCCTTAGCAAAGTTTCGTCACGCTGCCTTCTTGCTGTGAGCGTCCTAGGCCTGGAAGAGCAACCCTTGGGCGCCCACACCGCAGCTTGCTCCCCCTGTGGAAAACCTTGGAACCCTACACAAGCCATACACGGTTTAGTGTGTCGTCTCCCAAGAACATCTGTTGTGCGCACAGCTGGCAAGAGGGTGCTGGTTCTGTTGGTTCTTCAGGTGGTGCACGCCCGTCTTGTTGTCCCCTCTATCATCTGCTGAGTCTGCTCAAGATTGTCATATCCTCGAGCGCAGCAGGTTCGCCTCCTCTACCCCCCCCTCTCCCCTTTTTCAGCTCTGGCTGGCCCTCTGCGGGCTAGCTGGTGCTGTCCTGCCTACCAGGCACAACGGCTTGCCCGGTTTATCCCCAGAGCGGGGCACTAGGCCCCCAGCAGGTGCTGTCAAAACTGCTGAGCTCCCCGGCTCTGCACGGGGGAAGAGGCGCCGCACCTTCCGAGGGGGGAAGACCCTCTGACCTTACCAAGCTGGCTGGAGGCGGTTCCGCTGTATAGCACACTTAGGAGTAGCCCGCTGTAGAGATAGAGATAGTTAGCGGTGCACCAGTCCGTCCATTGCTCGCTTTAGTGCCAGCGCTTGCTGCTGTACAGTTACACCGCCTCCAGGCTGTTTGAGATCCGGGCCCATCAAGCAGCCCCGCCGACTGCTGGCAGAGATCTGAGTGCCTGCAAACCCCTCCGCCGTCGTTTGCGCGGCTTGTCATTGCCCGCCACCCCGACGCCATGGCTCAGCTGGGCGCCATCTTGACAATCCGGCGCGTCCCCACCCTGCTCTCGCTCAACCAGGACGCGGACGCCCCTGGGTGCGGCAATGCCTGCCTGGAGGAGTGCTGGGAGGCGCCAGGTGAGGGCCACGCTGCGGCGTACCACCCCGCTGCACATCATCACTGCTGTACATCACTACTAAGCGCAAGATCTTGTGTCTTGTGTGTGCCTGTGCTGGGCCAGGTGGCGCTGGCAGTGCTCTGGTGCTCAAGGGTGCTGCTCTGCTGCTGGCAGGTGCCGTCATTCCGCTGTACACGTACGCGCGGCGCTACTGCAGCAAGCCCAAGCGCACACGCTCATTTGGCGACCTGCACACCGTCCCCGACATTGACCCCCCCAGCAACAGCAGCGGCAGCGACAGCGACAGCGAGCCCGACAAGAGCTGCCTGGACCAGCTCCTCGTGGCACAGGTCAGCGCGCCGCGCTGCACACAGCCGCTTGCGGTGCCATCAGTGTCGTGTTGCGCCACTAGTGTCTCATTGTGCCACGATTGTCGTGCTCCTCTTGGCTGTGCACCGCCTGCTGGTGCCTGCTTGCCTCGCCTTCCCTCCTCTGCGCTGTCGGCCCTCTTACCTCGGCTGCTGTGCGTGTGCAGTGGGAGGATCGCGCGGAGAGGGGTCTTTTCCGCTATGACGTGACTGCCTGCGAAACCAAGGTACGTGCTGCTCCACCCCTTGCCCTGATCTGCCCTTGAAATGTCGCCAGATTGCTCGCATCTCGCTTTGTTTGTCCCGTTGTGCCGCTCTGTGTCCCTGCTGCGGCGTGCTGCTCCTGCGGGTGCTGCTGGCTGAGGCTGCGTGCTGCGCTGCAGATGCTGGCGGGGGAGTACGGCTTCATTGCACAGCTGAACGAGGGGCGCCACCTGAAGAAGCGGCCCACCGAGTTCCGCGTGGACCAGGTGCTGCAGCCGTTTGACGCCGCCAAGTTCAACTTCACCAAGGTGGACCCCGCCGAGGTGCTCTTCCGCTTTGAGCAGTCAGAGGACGGCCGCTCCGACTACTACGAGCACGCGCCCGTCTCCGACAGCCCCAACGTCGTTATTATCAATGTAAGCCCCCAACCTGCGCCAGCCTGCCTTGACAAGCTCCCCACCTCGCGCCGCCTCGCTGCCTCTTTGGTGCACTTGCGTGTCCCTCTGGGTGCCTGCCTGCGCTTGACCCGTGCGCTGACCCCTGCGCTTGTGGTGGGCCGCAGGTGAGCCCCATTGAGTACGGCCACGTGCTGCTGGTGCCGCGCGTGCTGGACTGCCTCCCGCAGCGCCTCGACGTTGACAGCCTGCTCCTTGCGCTGCACTTTGCGCACGAGGCCGACAACCCATACTTGCGCCTTGGCTACAACTCGCTCGGCGCATTCGCCACGATCAACCACCTGCACTTCCAGGTGCGCGGCAGAGGGAACACGACGCAGCTCGCACTGAAACGTGTTAGTCGGTGCTCTTTGGTGGTTGCTTGCGTATGGCGCTTGACGAGGTCGGTCATTCAGGGTTGGAGCTTCACGACTCTTGTTTGTGGAGCTTTCACAGTTCCTGGTGTGCCTAGCCTACCAGGGTCCACCATCCCCCGTGCTTTCCCCGGTGCAGCCTTGGAGACGCTCCCCAGTGCGCCGGCCGCTCTTGCGCGTGTCTGAGCTGCTGCCGCGTTGTTGCGTGCAGGCGTATTACTTGAACGCGCCGTTCCCCGTGGAGCGCGCGCCCACCGTGTGCTTCTCCCCCAAGAAGCGCAAGCGCGCCGTCAAGGTGTGCGAGCTGCGCCAGTACCCGGTGCGCGCGCTTGTCTTTGAGGTGGGCGCCAGCCTGCCGGAGCTCGCCGCCGCCGTGGGCCGCGTCTGCGCGCGCCTGCAGGACCGCAACCGCCCCTTCAACGTGCTCATTGCCGACAGCGGCGCGCGCGTGTTTGTGTTCCCCCAGTGCTACGCGGAGCGGCAGGCGCGCGGCGAGGTGGCAGCGGCGGTGCTGGACACGCAGGTCAACCCGGCCGCGTGGGAGATCAGCGGGCACATGGTGCTCAAGCGCCGCGAGGACTACGACGCCGCCACGCAGGTAAAGCCAGCAGCAGCAAGCCTCGCAAGCTGGGGAGCCGCGGATGGTCAGTTGAATTGCAGTGGTGCTTGTGTTCCATATAGCTGGCAGATTACGTTCCGAATTCTGGGTGTGTTGTTAAGTAAACACCAAAGCTGAGACCTCGATCATTGGTAGGGACCTCGATTCAGCTGAGTCGTGTGCCTGCCTACCAGGGTAATTTGGTTGCAGGGCGTCCCGTGTATCGGAGGGTTGAAAGGGCGGCAGGCAGAATCTAATTACGGCGTCTCTGGCAGAGCAAAGTGTTGGGATCAGTCCTGTGTCCACTCTCGACCAGACATTCTGCAAGGGGTTGACTGGCTTCAGCAGCGCCTGCGGCACCGAGTCGGCGCAGGTGGTGTTTTGTCCGGCGCACTCTGACGCGGTGCTTCTGCTTTGCAGGATTGGGCGTGGGCGCTGCTGGCGGAGGTGTCGCTGGACGCGGCCGCCTTCCACGAGGTCAAGCAGTGGTGCCTCGACGAGGGCGACCCCGCACAGGCGCCCGACGAGGCGCAGCCGCAGCCGCCCAAAGGGGCGGGGGCCAAGGCGGTGCAGCACGCGTATGACGACGGGGAGCTGGCGCTGTTTGAGGACCTGCTGTACCCCGGCGCGGGCGCGGAGGACGCGGACGGGGTGGTGCCCCAACTGGCGGCGTAGCGGGGAGGGGCGGCGGGCGGTGGCCAGTAGGAAAACAAGGTCGTAGCCTGTATCAGCGTTGCGTCAAGTTGGCCAACTGAGTATTGGAACCAACCATTTAGGCAGTCAAAAGTGGCTCTATTGAGTTTAGTGATTACAGTTCATACTTTTTTTAGTTATTGTAGGGTTTCGAAACGTTGTACGAAGATCCTGTCTTTGTACGTTTATGTCTAGATGGTGCCCTTTTCAAACAGACAGTGAAGCTGGACATACATTACCGGCAAAACGTGTTGCGGGCCAATCTACGTTGGCCCGATGAAGTTCTCCCTTTGTCGCTTTTCGGCTTGTTGAGTTGCTGAATGTCAATTGGAGGGAATTGTTGGTCCACCGGTTGATATCTGATTTAGTAGATCGAATTGCCCTTGGAGTTTAATTATATTGTTTAATGCTCTTCTGCCGGCCTCGCGGGAGACGAAGAAACTTGAAACATCATGCGAAGACAGATCGTCAGTATCACTTTAGCGAATTATGTTCTCTTTCTAATTGGCTGTAAATACTGCGTCGGTTTTGTATATGCTCCGGCCTCATGTTTCGCATTGATGAATGGCAACCATGCCTTCCGAACTTAGTGACATATGCTTGCGATATATGCAAAACACGCACAGATGATTGCTGCTTGCATGGCAGGCACGTGTGCATGGAGTCAACAAAGTAGTTCGCGCGCTGCAAACTTATGTTTCTGCTTGAGATGTTCTTGTGTCATGAATACCTCCGTTGAAGTAAGGTATGGGCCGGTATCAAGGGCGCAGGCCAAGCTGTTTGGCAGATGCGTACTCTGTTAATTTATCACAACGAAGAATTTCACTCGCTAGACTCGTTTTGAACGCGTCGCACGTACGTCCGTGACCATATACAATTTGGAAGTTCTACCGTTGTCACCCCATGTTATACTACGATGCATGATCGATATACCAATCGCTGTATAAGCTGCTCGATCATATATATGCCCGTTGCTCCACTTGCCAAATGAACGGTTCTTCTTCATCAATTCAGCATTCTCGCCGAACGTTGGCATGTGTGCACATGTGTGTGCGCTTAGCTAGTAAGCTGGGCAAGACATCACAGTATCGAAAATGTTAGCTCACGTTGAGGGACTGGCTGCGCCTGACGCCTGGCATGTTTCGCGGCGCGGCTAGCTACCGGCCTGGCCAAAACAATACCCTCACGGCTGGCTACAAGCTTTTATGCACATAGATGATTCAACTCGTACAATGCAATGCGACCCGTGATCGGCTCGCCTGAGGGGCCCACGTTTGAGGTAGACCACTCCGAGTGTCCTACCAAACGCTAGCTCTCTGTCCTAAAGCAAGTGGCACAACCTTACCAACTCCACGTATACTTGTTCGCAAATCAAGACATGCCTTCTAGATATTCATCTTCGTTGTCCGTTCGAATGGGGTTCAAATCTCACCAGATCAAAGCCGAGCCTATACAATTGGCGGAATTGACCTTTTTGGATCTTCTGCTCCGGGGGCGCGCCGGGGGCCGATCTGTACGCTAGACCTGGTTGTTTCGCTCTCCGAGAGTCATCCCCTTCAGACTCCCTGTTTCAATGGCGAGCATGCATCTGGGCTGGTTACATCCTTCGAACTCCGAATGTCATGCCATATGCCCTCGGTGCCAGATCGCCTCGACTACCCTGTAAGCGTGCAACACGTGGCGCAATCGAGCAAATACTAGGTTAAGCAGACTTGGTTATAATTAGAATAATCATACCTTAACTAGCGAACATGCTAGAACAGGATGACAAACGGACGCATTCCATTGGACGTCCATTAGCCATTTGCGTTCGCAGAATCCCTATAATTGCCGGATTCAATCCTAGGACGTTTCCACAACATTTTAAGGGTACATACCCGGCTATGTTACCGGTTGTGTAACCGTGACGGACCCAGGTACGAACCCAACATTAGCATGCAGTCCATTTTCATCATGACAATGCTTTTGGACATCCAAACTCAAGCAAGTCTCCACAAGGTACTTAAGTCAATTGGCATCGCCATTTCCAATTCGACTTTCATTCAAGTCAATTATCCATCACCAGCGGGCACCCGTGCCCAACCCAGCATCCGAGCGCCTTGAGCGTTCAACCCAGCATCCGAGTGCCGTGAGCACTCAATCAGTTGCCAGTACCATCGGCGAGCAGTACCGTACCAGCGACGACAACACCACGGAAGCAGAAGGACCTCGCGGAGAACTTAACCAGAATAGT